AGCGGCGGGGAGCCTTCTTGATTTCGTCGTCGCTTGCGCCCTTGTCAAGTCCTCGCGCTGCTTGTGGACGAGGGGTCAGGGAGGGAGGGATGAAGAGGAAGGAGTTGGGGAGGGGACGGAAAGAGAGACTCGCTGAGCGCACTGGGGGCCTCAGAAGGTTGATTCCAAGGGGTTAGCGGTGTCGAGGGTGCTTTATGATGCTTGATGTTCCGAGGGGGCTCCCAGGAAAAGGAGGACGGAGGGAGGAGGGAGAGAGGGCTGTGGAGGGATCTATGGGGTGCCGGAACGGATTCTCAAGACGCTGCAGAGCGGTCGATGCTCCATGTGGTCCTCGGGGGGTGGCCTGTGGCCTCCCGAACGAGAGAGGACGGAGCGAACGGGCGGAGGGAGAGGTTGGCGCTCCGGGCACCGCACCCTCCCCGAATCTCCCTGGACCTCTCCCGCCGCACGCGCGAACTCCTGAGCCCAAACCGACGCAGTGAAACCCAAAGGTCAGGTTGGGCGTGTCCCCCTACAGGTAGATTTGAAACGAAACATAACAAAAAAATCAAACCATATTCAACCAAGTGTTTCAAAAAAATTGTTAAAATATCGTCCCCATCATATGTTTTTGCTATTTTTGATAATCCTCCTGTAGAGGAACAGGCCCGGCTTAACGCAAAGGCTGAGCTGATGAGGTCACCCCCTGAGCATCGATCCGCCGAACCTCCACTGAAGATGCGTGCTGGTCGCTTGGCGCCCCGCCGGGCGTGGCATGGCGAAGGACTTCATCCAAAGCTCGGGCTGAGGCAGCCAGAATAGGGGGCCGGATGCGAACCCTACCGCTACCCCCCACGATCTCTGAGGGGGAGGGGTAGGGTTCGCATCTGGCCCCCTACACAAACAGCACAACCATAATGCAAGGTAAACACACACTGAAGCGCGCATCATATATCCGGCAACGCAAGACGTGCACACCAAATAGTATCCACCGTGCGTTTACGCTATGACGCTATGCGCCCTCTCCGAAACTCCACGCGCCTCCCCCTCGCTATCAAACTGGAGCGATCCTAAACTCAAGCCGAAGCCACCAGACGCAACGCCAAGATGAGGTCACCTTTGGTCTCCAGAAGCGGCGCCTGCACATCCGCTGACAACGCCTGCATGGTGGCTGCTCGGCGGCCCAGGGCGTGCTTCGCGCAGCAGCGCGCCCAGGGGGGAGGCAGAATCCAAACTTATAAGTAAATCGTTTATTGTACAGGGCAGTTTCTAATACATCGGATCTTTTTAAATATAAAATTTAAATACGTGGTTAATGTATGAGTAAATGTTGCATAAATACATCGTTGCTTGTAATACTAAATCCCTGCATTCTTAATACATGATCCGCACGCGGAGGATGTCTTAAAAACGGCCCTGTACCTTTCACTCTGGACACGGGCGCCGCCTTCAAGAGGTATCCCGTGACATGCGCGCCCTGCCGCTGCAGAGCCACGACCGTATTCCTATTCTTATATTCTTATTACCCGGACCCCCGCCCCCTAACCCCCCCCCAGGGACGCCCTGGACGCCCTTTCGGACGTCTTAGCGGCCCCGTGGACGCCTTTGGAAAACGTCCGCTGGCCCGTCCCGGCTTCCCAAGGCGCCGTGCCGGCCTTGGGAGCATATTCAAGGCGACCAGCAAGGGTCATCGGAAAGGCGCAAGAGAGAGACCGAAAACAGCACAAGAGCGCTCCAAGAGGAACCTCGATGGTCCGAAAACGACCCAGGAGGCCCCTGAGACGCCCCAAGAGGCTGTTAGGAGAGCCCCGAAGAAGCAAACATCGTCCCATTCCTTCGGGAAAACGTATCAGTTTAACATATCCGCGGTTTGGGGCTTCGCAGCGTCCAGAACGGCCCGATGGGCCCCCGATATCGCTCCAAAACGGCCCAAGAGGCCCCCCAGAGGGTTTGAAGACGGCCCAAGAGGGCCCCAAGACTGCCCCAAAGAGCCCCGAGACTGCCCGCAAGAACGCCAAAGGTGCCCACAGAAGGCTCCCAAGAGAGACACACGAAAGCCAGGGCAGACCCCCAAGAAGCTCACTGGAGGCCTCCAAGAGGGCCCTAGATGGCTCCAGAAGACCTCTGGAGGGCCCCAGCTCCCCAAGACGGCCCAAGAAGGCCCCGGGACGGCCCAAGAGGGCCCCATGGAGGCCCAGAAGAGCTCAAAGAACGCCCAGACGGCGTTTTCCCACGAAGTACATCGAGCTGACACCACGATCGTGGTTCCACGCTTGAGGCTCGAGGTTTCAGTTCCTCGCTCGAGAGAGAGGGAGAGAGAGAGAGAGAGAGAGAGGCAATGGATCTAGATTCGAAGTTCGACGATCGAAGATTTCCTTGGTGCCTGGAGCCCTCCAGGCATTCAGGAAGCTACCAAACATCGACTTCTTCGGAGCTGTTGCGAATTCTTCGGCGTGTCATGGGAACGCTTCGTACTGTCTCACAGGGCCTTCGCGCGTGAAAAAAACATCATTCCTTCCCCACTCCTGCGCACAAGCGTGCAAGCACATCGGGCGAACGCGGTGTCAACAGGCACCAAGGATATCAGAAAACTGAGCCGGTCCTTCGTCCAGGCTTCGAGGTCCCCCCCGCTGAAGCAAGCGATGATTTATTGCTTTGCCGGAGAGGATCTGGAACAGAGCGCATGGCGCGAAGCGCCAATGCAGTCTTGTATATATATAGATATACTCATGTGTATCGAGATGTGTTCGCAGATCTGCTGGATCACTTCAGGCATACAGCACTTCCTTGGAACATTGTCGCGCCGGAAAAAACAAAGGGGGAAGATACTCAGAATTGAGCAGGGACCGACAGTTCTGGCATTCCTGTAGGCCCACCACAACATGTTGTTAGAACCCAGCAGTGTTCTAAGAACCCCACAAAACTTAGACCATAAACCCGATTTGTCAAAAAAGGCAGGCTAAGCCAGAAATGTTCTAAGAACCTTTCGTGCAAATCACAGAATATATTCTTAAACATTATTTGGTGGGCCAGTGGGCGAGCCAGGACGCTCCGCCACTGCTTGACCAAAGGCTCGGAAACCCTCTGGCCTTGTCAGCAGTTTGCCGATCTCTCGCCGAAGCCACCGCGGGGGCAGCTTCAGCGAAAGCCGGAGGGCTCCCGAACCGCCTCGCCGCCCTCCGAGCAGGCCCCCGCCTCCTCTCGACTATCTTCCCCTCGCGGTGCGCCCCGCCGCTTCCCAGCCGACGGCTGCCCTGTTGGGCTGTCGGTCGGTGGAAGATGGCGCGCTCTGGTCTTGCACGGCACTTGGCGCCCATGCGGCCAACGATAGCAACGACGACAACGATATCACAACGATAAAGCAGCGACGTGATGCCGCTGTTACCGTTGTGTCGTTGTTGTATCGGTGTGATCGTTGTTATCGCTTCGTCGTTGCTATCGTTGTGATCGTTCTGTCGGTGTTTGATCGTTGTGGTTGTCGTGGGTGCGAGCCGTGGTGGGGAGCGGTCATGGCGAAGAGCGGGCGCGCATATAACTGCACGGCGGCAGGAGTAGCTCGGCTACACACAAGAGTGACCCTGAGTAAGAGTGACCTCTGGTGCCTGGCTTTTCGGGGGCCGCGGGGAGACCAAACCTGGGCGCGCAAGCCGCAGCTACCGCGTCGTTTTCAGCCATCTGAGGGCCCATCTGTGCCCGCACCAGAGGTCACTCCGGCGAAAGGTCACTCTTACGTCTAGTCGAAAGGCGCCCCGCCGCATGCCCAGGGGATGATGAGGAGCACCGGGCCCCCCACCCCCCATCGAGGAGGGGCCCGTGGAGCAGGCGCCAGCCGTGCGAGCTACAGCCAGCCCCATATCATGAGGATGCGCTATGAGTGGTTTTCATCCTCCTCCTCCTCCTGGTCCCCCTCCTCCTCCTCCTCCTCCTCCTCCTCCTCCTCCCCCTCCTCCTCCTCCGTTTCCTCGTCCTCCTCTTCCTCCTCCTCCTCCTCGTCCTCCTCCTCCTCCTCCTCCTCTTCCTCCTCCTCCTCCTCCTCCTCCTCCTCGGCCTCCTCCCCCTCCTCCCCTCTTCCTCCTCCTCTTCTTCCTCTCCTTTCCTCCTCCTCCTCCTCCTCCTCCTCCTCCTCCTCCTCCTCCTCCTCTCCTCGTCCTCGTCCTCGTCCTCCTCCTCCTCCTCCTCCTCCTCCTCTAGTCCTTTTCCTTATAAGGAACTTCTCCCTGTCTGCAAAGACCTTGGAGGCCCATCTCGAAGCTTTTCGAGCGGGGCGTGGCCAACGAAAGTGGCCAAACATGAACCCGAAGAGGCACGTATGTAAGGGTACCCTTGGGAGGCTTGGCCATCCTTGCGATGCGGATTGAATGTGCTCTCGGCCTTCTCGCTGCCCCCGCTTTGCCCAGGTCTTCTGCTCTGCTGAATGCAGGGGCTGACTGCTTGTTGTGTGCCCTCGGCTGACCTCTTCGCCACGGCAAGAAGGGGAGTGCCCAAGCTCGGCTGTTCTGTCTCGCGGGGGTGCTGCTGCAATGCAGGAGTGGCTTCTCGAGCCACAGCGGGAGGGGCGGGCGCGGACGATGCTTGCTTCTGGGGGCACGGGTGGGCGGCATGCTCAACACTTGCCAGCGTTTTGAGCGCTGGTGCATGATCTTGGCGGGAGGCGGGGGCTCTGGGACGGAAGAGGAGGAGGGGGCGAGGCGGCCAGGCGAAGCGGCGAACTCCGCTCCAGCGAGAAGCTAGGAAGGGGCACCAACTAGCGAATTGGCCGGCGGGCAAAGAGGGGGGGGGGGACGGCCGAGAGGAAGAAGGGACGCTCAGAAATCGGAGAGTTCGACGTTGAGCAACCGGGGAGGGCAGCAGCAGCCAGGCGCGCAGCGGAGGAAGGGGCGCAAGGGACTGCAAAGAAGAAATGAAGAGTGGACGAGGGAACGATGCAGGGACGATGGGAGGAAGGGGGCTGACGGCGGGACCTTCTGTCCTCCTATGTATCCTCCGCCTCTTCGTCCCTTCCTCCGAACACCTCCCACCTCCTACTCCCTTGCGGTCTGTGCAGGACCCCTCGAGGGAAGCATCGGGGACATGGCGGGAGAGAACCGAGATGGATCCACCTTCCTCCTCCGCTGTTTCCTCCTCTGCTGTGTTGTTGCTTCTCTCTCTCTCTCTTTGCTTCTCTCTCTCTCTCTCTACCGTTCATCCGTATATGTATACAGATGCGGAGTGCATCATTACTCCTCCTCCTCCTCCTCCACCTCCTCTCTCTCCTCTCCGTGTGTCCTCTCGGCCCCTGTCGACCGATCCGTGGCGCTGTGGCAACGAAGGAGGAGGACGAGGAGAACGAGGCAGCGGCCAAAAGGGGAGGATGACAACGACGAAGAAGGCAATCGTCGGTGACAGGGCGATCGTGACGCAAATCTGGACAAGTTCCAATACCGAGCCTGGAGGTGGCTCCGGCACTGTTTTTTTGATAACGCCCCTCGGCTTTCTGGTCACGGCCCCCGTCCCTTTTTTCGGGTGACGCCCCTCGGCTTTCTGGTGACGGCCAAACCGCTTCTGGTACTCGTACGAGCGGGCCCTGTCTAAAGAAACCGACGTTTTCTTGGTGCCAAGTCGTACCCCCAAGGCGCTTCGGCTATGATTGCACGCGCTCTTACTCTTGCAATCGCGTGCTCCGTTATAGTTTTGTCGGTCTCCGCTGTCAGGGGTTCCTCAGAGGCTGTCGGGGGCTTCAACGGTGAACGCCCGCGCTCGCGCTGACGCCGGGCCGGGAAAGGAACAGTCTCTATCCTCAACGGCCCTCTGCAGGGCAGCCCTGCCTGAAGGTTTTTTCGCCTCCAGGTCACTGAAGGCTGTTTTGCCTTCAGGTCGGGACCCAACTCGACGAGAACACAAGCGACTTCATCATCCCCACGTGCCAGGGCCAACATGAGGGCGGCCGACTCGAGGCGGTCCCTCGCCTCGAAGTCCGCACCCACCTCGGCAAGAATACGAACGATCTCGACATCTGCGTAATTAGCCGCCCGCAGGAGGGCAGTCCCTCGAAAAGAGAATTCCCCCTCAAGTTCGACACTCAACTCGACAAGAACACTTGTCTGTTGTTGGTGTGTTTGTTGTGTTTGTTTTTCAATTCGTGCCCCACTGTGGTCTCGCAAACAGGGCGGACATGCCCGATCGTCTTTGCGATCTCATTTTCAATCGGGGCCCCGCTGTGACTTCGCGTGCAAGGTCGGAACCCAGCTCGCCTGGAGCAAAAACAGCATGACAAGTTCTGTGAAGAACCGCCCTTTGAAAGACAGTTCTGCCGTCATGATCTTTCGCCTCGAGGTCAGCACCCAGCTCGGCAAGGATACGAACCACCTCAATATCGCCACATTAAGCGGCCAAACTAATGACGTTCCAATCGCCATCGAATTCAACCCCGGTCGGTACCCACCTCGGCGAAAACACGCACGACCTCACCATCACTATATTCAAAGGCCCGCAGGAGGGAAGTCCAGCTGCCCTCCGTCTCGAGCTCGGCGATCTGCTCCGTACAAGTAGGAACGATCTCGACGTTGCCCCGTGCAGCGACTCGCAGTAAGAAAGCTTAGGTGTCCTTCGCCTCGATGACAGCACCCAGTTCGGCAAGAACGCAAGAAACCGCATGATCGCCTCGCGCAAGGGCCGACATGTAACCAGTCGAACCAAGACGATCCCTCGCCTCGACATCCGCACCCAGCGCGGCAAGCACACGAATGAGCTCACTATTTGCGCGATCCGCCGCCCACAGAAGGGGCGTCCTGCCAGAGCGGTCCTTCACCTCGAGGTCGGCACCCAACTCGGCAAGAACTGACACGGTCTCCTCGTCACCGTGCGCCATGGCCACGACGAGGGCGGTCCTGCCGTCACGACCCTTCGCCTCGAGGTCGGCTCCCAGCTCGGCGAGAACGCGCACGTGCTCCACGCTGCCATAAGCGGCGGCCTGCAGGAGGGCAGTCTGACCGTACTGATTCTCCCCCTCGAGGTCAGCACCCACTTCGGCAAGGGCACGAATCACCTGGACCCTGCCGCATCCAGCGGCAAAGAGACGGCCAGTCCTGTGAAGGGCAGTCCTGCCCTCCCGATCCCTCGCCTCGAGGTCAGCACCCAACTCGGCAAGGACGCGAATGACATCAACCTTGCAGTGCTCAGCGGCCAACAGAAGAGCCGTTTGACCTTCCGTGTCTCTCGCGTTGAGGTCGGCACCCAGGTCGACGAGATCTCGCAAGACCTCAGCATTGCCATGTTCGATCGCCCACAGAAGAGGAGTTTTGCCAGAATCCGCCGGTCCCTTCGGGGTCTCACGGCGCGTGAGATTCCTTCCCCCCTATGATCCCCCCACCGGGTCCGCGATCTCGATGTTGATGGGGGGGGCTGTCCAGGAACGGGTTCCATCGGGGCTCTTTCAGGATGCCCCGCCCTCAATATGACTTCCACGACGCCCAACCGTGTGTTCCGACGTCTCGAAAAATGGATACATCGTGAAAAATCACGACCGGAGCCCCGGACCCCATCTTTCTGCGTCATTTTTCGAGCCGGATCGATCTGTGAGGGTCCCGCAGCCCGAAACCTGGCGAAAACGCGCGACTCGAAAACACTGAGTCGCCAACTCCTCACGGAAGAATCCCTCCAAGACGGCCACGGTGGCCCAAGAGAACCCCAGGTTGCCCCGATACGCCCTTCAAGACCCCCCCCTGGATCAGATCAAGTCGGCACGAGATGGCCTCCAGGCTGCCCGAGCGGAAGCCTCGAGGACGGGCCTCGGGGGCCCCACGGGGAACCCCCAGAGGGCCCCAAGAGGCAACAGATCGTGCGATTCCCGGCGGCTTTTCTGCGGGATTTCAACAGTACCGCCTTTCTGGTCTCGAGAGCGTCCAAGACGGCCCAGGAGGCCATCCCACGCCCAAGGGGCCCCCAAGAAGCGCCCAAAGAGGCCTCCAGAGCCCCCCAAAGCCGCCCAAGAGGCCTCAAGGAGCCACCAGGAAGCCCCCAAGAAGCCCCGAAAGAGGCCCCAAGAGGCCCCAGGAGCCCCCAGAGGTCTCCCAGAGAGGCCTCAAGCACCCCCGAGAGGCTTCCAAACGGCCCCCAGAGGCCCCAAGAGGTCCCCCCAGAGGCCAACAGGCATCCGAAATGCCCTCGGAGGCTCAAGGAGTCCCCCAGGTGGCGCCCGCGAGGCCCCAAGAGGTCCTCCAACACTTCAACAGGCCCAAAGAGGCCCCCATGAGACCCCATGAGAGCTCTGACGCACTCAGCAAACTTTGTCGACAAAGGCAGCTTTTTGTGTTGCTGTATCTCTTGTGTCCACCCTCATCTAAGTATAAAGCAACTTCACAACTTCTGACTGCTCCCTCTCTTCAACTTCGTCCTCCTCCTCCTCGTCCTCCTGCTCCGACTCCCCCCCTGTCCGATCTACTCCGCCAGCTCCGCCTTGCCCTCTCGCTCGCCTACACAATTCCTCCCGCCCCCTCCTCTCCTCCAACTCCCCTCCTGATCTCTCCGCCTCCTCCTCCTCCTCCTCCTCCTCACGATCATCAACATCCTCTTCTTCCTCCTGCTGCATCCCAGAAAGCGATCAGTACTAGTGCTCCTACTCTCACTACTGCTACTACAACAGATGGCGCTACTGCTACTAAGGGCATGCAAGGAACTGCCAGGGCCGCCTTCAAGACTCATGATTCAACCATTTTCTGTCACAAGGCGAGTTGAATTACCCCGCCCTCACTAAATTTACATGCATACATATATATATATATATATATACACACACCCGTACTCGTTGACTCTTGAAAGTAGGCGTGAGCACTTGTGTAGTGCGTGGGCCACAACATGTTGTGTAGTGCGTGGGCCACAATGATGTGCAGGTATGGGAATCGCAAACATGTTTAGTTTAATGTCGACTCCAGCATCCAGTGTGGAAACCATTGCGGTATAGGTATAAGTGTTGTTGCACAGATTTCGCAAAACACCTTTACCAAAGGTTTCTGGTACTCGATTTCTCTTAGCAGAATTTCGACATCGCTCACAGACGAAATGTCCTTGGGGCGCGGCTACCGTCCGCAAAAGCGGGGTGATAGTGGGCGCGGCGGCGGCATTGAATGCCACAGGTTGGGGGCCTTCTGCGGAGCGAGCAGTAGGCTCTTGCCTCATTTTGCCAAGGCGAGACAATTAGATGTGTAGAGATGAACCCTTGGTCACCACCACCCGCGAATGCCACCACAATGCCCAAACACTTCCAGTGCGGCCGGACGCCGACAACCGAATCCCCAACGGATCCACCGACGGGACACACCATACTGCCAAAACCCCCAACGCATATTGAACAGCTGGGGTCAGCGGATGTGGCGCCAGCCTCTTGAAAAATCCCGGCTTTCCGTAATCACATCCAGCTTCGAGGATTTGAAATGCCGAGCCAGTTGCCGAGTCAGCTCGTACTCCTGGTTTTGAACAGCCATGAGGAGCAAAATGGCAACTACTTCAGGGTGTTTGGCGACGTCAACCAGGCGCTCCTGCACTTGCTGCCACGCCACTGTGATTGTCAGTTCCGATGCTTTTGCCCCACCTGCAGTGTCTTTGCTAGCTTCCAGCAGATCACAGAGCAATGAAAAAGCTGCCCTGGACCAGCAACGGCATCCATATCCTGGCCCACTTTGAACATGGTATGGAGGCGGAGATGCCAGCTGGAACATCGACCTCCACTCGCTCCGCACTGCAGCGTTGCCGGTCTCCACGATCTGCGCCCACTCCCACCGCTTCTCGCCCGATGACGTCTGGACGTATCCTGGCCTCCACTCCCCCATGGCCACAAGCTTTTCACCCCGTCTCAAAACAATAAGCACGCATTCGCCCGTCGCCGCCTGTCTTCTGTAGCAAGCCGCGCAGTTCCTGAGCACTTCGGCAGCGCCGCCGATCTCCCGGTCGCTGCGCAGGATCTCCAGCGCCAAATCGCCCCAGCGCTGTACCACAGGGTCCACGCCGCGCAGGTGCTGGTACACGGTGCCGTCCAGCTGCTCTACTCTGCCGAGCGCCCGCTCCCTCGCCATTTGCGCGAGCAAACGCTCGGGGTGGTTGCGCGTCTGAGCCTCGAATCGCTCTCGCGTCATGCCGGCAAAGATCGCTTCCACCTCATCGATGCGGCTCGGGTTCTGGGCCCAGAACGTGGCGTACTGCACCAGGTGCTGCGCCAGCGCGGACGCTGGCACCTGCAGGTGTTGGAGCAGCCTGCGCCTTTGCATGCCAGTGCCAGCAAAGCCAGGGAAGAACTTGAGGAAGTAGCCATGTGCACGGAGCGCCGAGACGCTCGGTACCTGTCCTGCTGGCTCATCATCCCGCCAGCTCTCGTACGCCGCCTTCTCGTCAAAGGCGCCCCAGCTGCCCAGGTGCTGCTGCCAGCTCCTGACCTTCAAGTCACGACGGCGGGAGATACCACGCCAGTCTTCGGGAACGCGCCAATCCTCGGCAGATGTTGTGTCAAATGTCACACCAGTGTGGCCGAGCTTGCCCTTCAGCAGCTTCCGGCTGAGTATGACGGCCTTGCACTGCTCCTCCGAGAAGCAAGGCTGCTCCAGCACCGACACGGCGTTGCTGTACGCTCTCGCGTCTCCAGAGCCCATCTGGGCGCTTGCTGGTGTGGCTGTCTCTGAGGCGGATGCGTGGACGACCGATCCCACGACTCTGGCCGCGAATCTGCCGTCATCAAACTGCAGCCCCTCCTCGCTCCAACGCGCAGCGGCGACGAGCGCGCCGAAATCCACGACGGCACTCAGACTCGCGCCCTGGAGCTCGTGGCGTCCTTCCAGCGGCACCGGGCCGTACTCGCTGTGCAGCATGCGTACCCGGCCGGTGCCGGGCTCCAGCTTCAGCGCCACCGTGCCGCGGCGCGGGTCGGAGGAGTCCTCGGGGAAACGCCAAGGTACCCAAACCGCCACTCCCTGGGCCCTGGACCTCCCCTGGGGTGCGTTTAGACTCGGATTTCGAAGAGAATCCAGCGGTGGCGGCGAGGGCCTCCTGGGAGCCCCCAAAAGGGAAAACGAGGCAGCGGTAGCAGCACGGGCACCCTTTGCTCCTCCGAGGCGCCGGCCCGAGGAGTCCTGGAAGAGGCCCAGGTCCTCCCAGCCCGCGACCTCCTCCGCACCCCACGCCGGCCCTGGGCGCCCGATCGCTCGCTGGCGTCTCGCGGTCGCTCCGCCTGCGCCGCTCCGCCTCCGCCGCGCGCGGCGCCCGCGGGCGAGGAGCGCGGCGGCCACGCCGGCGTGTGCGGCGCGCCGCGGGGAGGGCCAGCCGAGCACCTCGGGGGGCCTCGCCCGGGCAGCACGGTCCGCAGCGGCGCTGGCGTGCACCAGGGCGCGCGGGGCGAGGCTGGGCCGCGTCTGGGGGAGCATGGCACGGGCGGGTGTCACCAAGGGGGGGGGACCTGGACAGGGGCCCTTTTAACTAATGGTTGCGGGGTGAAAAGAAACGCCCCTGCCCTGGGTGATTGGAAGCTTCCAAGGGCCAGAGAGCCGCCAGAACGCCGCGCGACACGCGCGATACGCAGGGCTTACCCTGTCAGCCCACAGGAGGCTCAGCGCACAGCGCCTCGTACACCAGGGTCGGGACGTTTGTGCACGTCCTTGATTTAGGGCTCCTTCTGGAGCCATAGGGGTCCAAAAGGGGCCCTAAAGGCCTGCTCAAGGGACCCTTCCCAAACATGCGACGTCCCGATTTTTTCCGTACGGGGTCCCTGGAAGTCCCGACCCTTTCCCCGGGACCGGTTTTCCGTCCTGAATCCTTTTTTGACGGCCCCGAGCCCTGGCGAGGGCCCCCAGAGGCCGAAGTTGGCCAAACACCTCCCGTCCTGATTTTTTTAAACGACGCCACCATGCCTGGGCCACCCTCCCCTGAGATCCCCCCCCCTTTCACACCCGCCCGAATGGCTGCCGCCGCGTCAGGGCGAAGCCACGCGACCCGGTCGGCCTCTCGCAGCGGCGCCCGCCGCGCCCGTCCTGCCGGGGAGCAGCGCGCGGGGCTCGGAGCAAAGGCGCCGCCCGCGCCTCCCCAGCCGAGGGCGGGCACAGGGGCCCAGACATGCTCGCATCGTAAAAAGATCCGGACGCCCATTATCTATATATATATATATATATACACACACACACCATTTTCGGCCTCGGGGGGCCTCGCTGGGCTTCGGGACCGTCAAACAACGACCCGGGAGGAAAAACCGGTCCCGAGGGAAGGGTCGGGACATCCAGGGACCCCGTCTGCAAAAAAAAAAGATGTCGCATGTCTGGGGAGCCGACGTGGGCCCAAACAGCTTGAGCCCGAGTGGCTACGGAAGGGGTGGAGGGTGGAGGCGAGCTAGGCACGCTGGCGTCACAACTGACGTCCTACCCCTTCCTCTCGTCCGTACCATGGCGGAGGCGTGGCCAAGGGTGCGTAAAATGGGCGGCGGGCAAGGAGGGGTGGTACCCAGACGTGCGACGTCCCGACCTTTTCAAGACAGCGTCCCTGGAAGTCCTGACCCTGATTCTTTAACGACGCGATCTTGTTTGGGAGGGCTTCGTCAGAAAACTCGGACCCCCCCCAGACTTCTGAAAAGTCCCCACGGCCTTCCTGTCGACACGGAGCACATTTTTCGGAAGGCCGGCGGGCTACTGAGAAGCCCCGCTGCCTCCTGAAAAGGTTTTCTCTTTCTCACTTCCCCCCTCGCTCGCCGCCGATTTGGGGCTCTTGGGTTCGATTTCGGGTCTCCTTCGGATCTCCGGCAGCCATTCGGGACGATCTGGGCACCCCCGGAACGCCCTCGGCGAGGCGCAGCTGCTGAAAAGGATCTCGAAGCCAGAAAACCGCTGGGAACCGACGAAAACGCAAAGAAAACTAACACCATCTCTTTTTGTTTCCTCTCTCTCTATATATATATATATAGAGAGAGAGAGAGAGAGAGAGAGAGAGAGAGAAAGAGAGAGAGAGAGAGAGAGGAACAACAAAAAAAAAAACGATATAAAACTCGAGCCCGAAACTTCCCCAGGGGCTCGCCGCCGAATGGAGGGGCCGACGGCGAGGGGAGCGGAGGTTCCACGAGGGGGGGGGGGCTCCGGGGCCAGCGGGGGGGGGGCAGGAGGGGAGGCGGAAAGGCGGGGGCGGAGCGAGGGTTCGGACGGGCATGTCCCCCTTACAGACGGCTCATGGGCGAAACATGAAAAATGCGCCAAACATGCTCAAACATATTCCACAAGTTGTAGGATAATCGTCCCCGTACAATTGTTCGTTGATTTATGAAAAGCCCGGCGCTCCCGATAATAATCCCCAAGGGATAATGAAGTTCGGGGGACTGGCGGGGATGGCCGACGATTTTCCCGGCGAAAGTGATGTGATGATGATGGTGACGATGATGACGATGGCGATGGTGATGATGATCCCGGGCGCTCGCGCAACCTGGCCTTGTAGATCTCGGCACAAGGCTGCCTCGAGAGATCTCGAGGCTCGCGGCTACAATTTGCCTGCGCAAGAGAGGTCCCTGGCGCCCCTGGCTAAGACACCTCTCTCGCGCGCGACCTCACACCGCTCGCCCACGCAGGCTCGGCACTCCTTGGGGCCATCCTTGCGAGGGAGGCGCTTGGTGCAGGCCTGGGCGGAAGCGCTTGCCTCCTCGAAGGTGGCGCGCTTCGGCTCGAGCGCCGTGGGGCCCTTGAAGGGCTTGGACTTGGCCTTGCTCTTGGCCTCGGCCTTGGCCAAGTCGTCGTCGCTGGCCTCCTTGAGCTTGGTGATCCACCGTTGCCTCGGGCGCACATCGTGCTGATGCTCGCGGGCGCTTGGCGGCCCATCCTGCGACCCCGCGCGTGGCGCGCTCGATCCAGCGACCCGCCCACAGGCCGCAGGACCAGGCGTCGGCCTGGAACATCTCGCTGCTCCTCGCAGACCAGGTCTCGCCAGGGCCAATGGCGCCGAGCTTGCGGAGGATCCTCGCGGCGGCCTTGGGAGGCCACCTGCTAATCTTACCCGCGATTTCTAAAGAAGAGGGCGGGGTTCACTTCGTTCGGCAACTCCCGAGCAAAGTGGACCCGACGTCCCCCCTCCGAAATCGTGGGGTGTAGGTGCGAGTTCGCATGTGGCCCTGTAGGCCTGCCTGGCGTTCTCGGTCGGCTGCTTGAGGGCGTCGCGGCACTCCGCCGCGACGCCCCCGCCGATCCTCGAGACCTTGGCGGGCGTTGCTACCAGTGCCCCCCCTGCCAAAGGTGCCTCCAGGATTCGCTCAAACACGGAGCGAAAACTGGAGGCACCTTGGGATGGGGACAACTGCAGCAACCACAGACCTTGAGGTGGGTGTACTCCCAGGGGAAGCCGTGCAGCTGGGGGGGGGGGGACTCCCGAGCGGGTCTGAGTCGGCCAGCCCCTGCTCGCTTCTCCCCCCAACCCCGGCGCTCGCCGCCGAGAGGGGGGAGAGAGACGGGGGGGCGAGGAAACAGGCAGGGAAAAGGGGGGGTTGGGTGGGGCGCGAGGGGAGGGAAGGGGGGAGGGGCGAGGATGGAAGAGTGGGCGGGGCGTGGGAGAGGGGGGGGAGAGACAGGGGGGCGAGGAAACAGGCAGGGAAAAGAGGGGGGGGGGAGCGAGGGGAGGGAAGGGGGGAGGGGCGAGGATGGAGGAGGGGGCGGGGCGTGGGAGGGGGGAAAGGCAGGAGGGCGGGGTGGAGAAAGGGGAGAGGACGGGGAAAGGAGGGGCCAAGACGGCCCAAGATGGCCCCCCAGGCCCCCAAGAGTGCCCCAAGGTGGCCTCAGGAGGCCCCAAGAGGTCCATCCCAAGAGACCCCCACGAGGTTCACCCGAGGCGCCTAACCAAGAGGCCCCCAAGACGCCGCCCAAGAGGACTCCAAGAAGTTCTCAGGACACATCCGAAGAGACTCCGAGAGGTATCTAAGAGGCCTCTGGCCACTCTGCTCGCCCTCCTCCTCCTCCTCTCCTCCTCCTCCTCCTCCTCCTCTCCTCCTCCTCCTCCTCCTCCTCCTCCTCCTCCTCCTCCTCCTCTCATCCTCCTCCTCCTCCTCCTCCTCCTCCTCCTCCCTCCTCCTCCCTCCTCCTCCTCCCTCCTCCTCCTCCTCCTATTCATCCTCCGTATCCCTCTTCACAATTACTCAATATGAATATACTCTCTCTCTTCCCCTGATGGCGTCCGGGTGATGGCCGCGCACCCTCCGCGTACTGAATTTTTACACACAAGGAAATCCCGGGAAACGACTCTCGCTGAGGCGCCGGCGTCATTTGTTCCCAAAATGCTGCTCTCGCGCCGGCGTCATTTGTTCCCAAAATGCTGCTCTCGTTGAGGCGCCGGCCTCATTTCTGCTCCCGAATCCTTCCCCTGATGGCGTCCGGGTGATGGCCGCGCACCCTCCGCGTACTGTTTTTTTACACACAGGATGCCCGGGAAATCCCGGGAAACGACTCTCGCTGAGGCGCCGGCGTCATTTTTTCCCAAATGCTGCTCTCGTTGAGGCGCCGGCCTCATTTCTGCTCCCGAATCGTTCCGAATCGTGCTCCCGCTGCAGCGTGGGCCTCATTTTCGGATCGGTGTTTGGCCTCCGTCGTTCAGGATGGCGTTCTCGCCCCAGCGCGGGCCTTTTTCTCGCGCGCCCATCCGCCCGCCACCACCGCGCCGCACCGCCACCACCACCACCACCACCACCACCACCACCACCACCACCACACCACCACCAGCACCAGCACCAGTACCCACCACCACACAGCACCAGCACCACCACCACCACCACCAGCACCACCACCATCACCACCACCACCACCACCACCACCACCACCACCACCAGCACCAGCACCCACCACCAACACCACCACCACAGCACCACCACCACCACCACCAGCACCACCACCACCACCACCACCACCACCACCACACCACCACCACCACCACCACACCACCACCACCACCACCACCACGACAACCACGCACACACGCACGCACGCACGCACGTGCACCACCACCCACTACGCACGCGCGCGCGGAGCCACAGGTCCGCTACGACACGCGTCCGCGGATAGAGAAAATCAGCGCCATGGTAAGGGATGGGAGGGAGGGGTAGGACGTCAGATATGACGCGAACGCACCCAGCTTGCCTTATCCCCCTCCCCCTCCCCCGGCTTCTCCTCCTCCGATTCCCCCTCCATCCTCCCACTGTTGGGTAAGACGGCTTCACCAGCACGTTATTCCACTGCATGCTCCTCCACATCCATGATCAGGGCATCTCGTCTGGGCATCGTTTTTGGATGGGCTGGCGGGATTGCACGAAGTGTCTAGCATTAGAAGAGGGAAGGGGAAGCTGAGGGCGAGGATGCAGAGGACGATGACGAGAAGGATCATGAGGAGATGGGGGGGAGCAAGAGGATTGCGCCCAAAACATGCGATCCGAGAATACGATCCGCGGGACAGCGAGACAGAATCCCTTCTCCTGCCTCCCCCTCCTCCACCCGATGCCAGCGCGCGCCGCCTAGGATCTTGTAGTAATCGTCGCCGACGCGCGAGACCCTCTTGATCTCCTGGCGGGTCGCGGTGGGGGAGGAACACGAGAAAGAGGAGGCCATGAGTGACGAACCAACAACACACACCCATACCCATAGGGGGATCGGAGAGGGCTATGGGTGCGTGTTGTCGGACGGGGGTTCCCGCTCGAACGGGAGCGTTCCCCAGGGTCCGACAACCCGCACCCATACCCATAGCCAGTCCTCCTCCCAACGACCTCCCTATGGGTATGGGTGTGTGTGTTGTTCGTTCGTCAATGAGAGGACGCAGCAGAGGCAAGACAACCGCGCGCCGCGCCCTCCGAGAAGAGGGCTCTCGGAATCCCCGACGACTCGATGCTTCGATGCTGCTGATCCTCCGGGGGCCCCCGAGGTCTCGATGACCTGCCCTGGGACCAGCTTGCCATACCGCCCAGCGGTCGAAAGGTGTGGGTAGAAACATGAAGTAGGAAGGCGCTGGAAGTAGGGCCCCGAGTCGCCCACAGATCGGCCGAAAACGCCCACGATAGCCCCAAGACCGTCCAGGAAGCCTCCAAGACGTCCCAGGCCCCCTCCAAGAGACCCCCAGGAAGCCCCAAGAGGCCCCCACGA